AGTAGACTTATCAAGACCCGAGTCATTTTAGTATAGCTCGGTTGGCACTTAAACTTGTTATTTTTGATACATGATGTACAGGTCGGAGGTTTTCTTGCTTCCTGAAAAACTATTTATCGCAATCACCAAGGTTCTTCCAGCTTTATCTACCTAACTGGCTGAGATATAGCTAATATACACCACAGCCTATGTTCTCGCAACCCAGTGATTGCGTGTAATAACTTCTCATGACAGTAAAACCCGGTGATGTGATCTATGTTCCATCTGCCGACTGCAACTCGAACAAGTCGGACATAAAGCTGCAATCTTGCGGAGCAGTACTCCACATGTGCATATATAGCCTCCCAAATTAAGCTACAGATCGCTTGTTGGCCATGATATGCTTCTATAAGAGTCGATATGGGGTTCGGCGTCGGAGTCGTTCACTCCGCAACCTATCCGCTGACCACTTCTGAGCAAACTCGCAGTTGGTCATGCAAAACTGCACTGATACTTGCCATTTGCTGAATTTATATATTTTTGCATTGTATATCGTTACTTGCCTCGCAAATATCCGTCCCTTCAACTCGGGTGGCCGTTCTAAGAATGAGGTAGAAGTTTCTCTTAAGGCAAAGAATAGCCAAAACTTGTCCTAGTGCACGGCAATCCAGCAGTCTTTTCCTAATTTTATGGCCTTGGTTGGCAAACTTGGATATTCAACATCTCCTTCTAAGTTATGTAGTCGTGAACTGTCTATCCTAGCTAAGAGTTGAGCTGGCTCAAAGAATGAAGATACATCGTTTGCTAGTAATCATAACAACGCCCCTTCGTCATAGCCTTCATCTGAGATTCTAACATTTGAAACACAGCAACGAAGGGTGTCCCAGTCACTGTAACTCTACCGTCTTCTATACTTTGCAGGTGACCAGCGTTTGTCATCTCGGTATGGATATTCGTCTTCTTTTCCTTCTCATAGCTTTGCGAAGTCATGGCGATTATGAAAACGATGATGGAATTATTAAAAACACTAATTGACTTGTGAGGCCTTTGAACTCGCCAAGGAAGCTCTCTCTTCTGTCTGTGTCGTTGCGTGTTACATCAGCCCCGGCTGTTAGCAGCAGTCTGTGGGTGTTGATATGATGGAGCCCTCTCTTTTACAGTCTTGGATTGCACTTGTCGCCCGGAAGCAACTAAATTTCAATCGTAATTCACGAATTATCGACATATAGGACACGAATGTGGTCTAAAAACACCACACGATCGAGGCCAAGTCCTCATTCAACTTGAACTTACACATCTCTAGCTAATCCTCAAGATACTCAGATCATTTACGAGTCTCAGGACGACCCGATGCTCAATGGCCTATACATTCTTACCAACAAGAATTATACGTCACGTTGGTCGTGATCTCGTAGAGGGCCTGGCCGCCAAAGAGCAGCTTCAAAAGCTCTTATGATTTGCCCCTTCTCGAGCTTCAAGGCTCGCAACCTTGATAGGAGCACTTTTCTCTCCTATAATCTTGAGATTGCGCGCAGCCTGCAATAATTTCTCTTTCGGTGAGAGAAGTCAATACCGTATGCTGTTTCGCTTTCTGTTTCGTAGGTAAGTCGCCGACATTTTGTAGTCAGTCAAATACCCTTTCGCCAGATTATACAGCGTTGCTCACGTCGCCCCTTGAGACTATCGTTCATTTCCCTTAATAATCATAGACTGAGTTTCCCGATTTCGATATGTCCTTCTTCGTAATCTATCTTCTGGTACAGAACGGTGCCAACCCAGAAACTTCCAGTATCTATCGAATCAGCAAAACCGGGTGAGTTTGTCTAGATGCCATAGTTGACATCCTTCGAGAGTTAATAAACAGTGCATTCTGGTTGAAGAATCGAATATCTCAATCGAGCCCCTTCTCCACGCTTTCCTGGAGCTTGTAATTCTTTCTATCCCGGGAACTCGTCGACATCATCTATATATCATTTTTAACTGGCTCCGTTAACTCAGTATCCTCAATGTAGACATCAGAAGTGTCAGTTTCTTGTCTATCGGGCTATGGAGGCGGCTGATGCCCTCTAAAATGGTCAATCTTTTACTAGGTCTGTCTTCACATTCTTATCCCTTTACATTGTTATTACTTGCCGATTCAATGGCCCCTTGGAATTAAATTGTTCTTGATACCATTTAGTAATGAGGGTTCGTGTGCATAGTTCACGTTGTAGGCGGGCGAGATCGAATCGATTGTCTATTGAATAAGCGACAAGCTGTTTCGTGAAACATTGTCATGATCACCATATCGAGCTGTCACATCAGTTGCCAAGCTGAGTCTCTTCATTCTGTCGAAGTTGGGCATTTGTCAAAGCATTGCTCCACTGAGTCTGCTCCCACATTTATTAAGTTTACGTTCTCAAGTGGGAGATAACATTGCTGTCTAACAACAGTGATCATCGCTATGATTATTAAATCAATATATCATTTTGGTTTATGGAAGCTACTATTGTTATACGGGTCACAAAATGATCTTGAATTAATGCTTTTTTAATTCCAGACAAGTTGCCATGTTGTTCTTTGAAGACCGTGCTCGTCTCTGACCTTCTTGCTCCATTTGCAAGACATAGGCATCATCGCAAGGTTAAGGGTCGACGTAACAATTTCGATTCGAGGTAGTTGTATTAAACTTAGGCCGAGGACTTAGAGTATACAAAAGCCATCATAAGTTTTGTTATCAGTATTCTGCTTAGAAGTTCTATCTCTGTGCTGTATTTACACGTAAGACAAGACAGAGTGGTACAACGTAATGGTAAAACAAATCGATCTGAATCAGTAGATTTGATTCAACAACTTCCACGGCACTGTCTGACAAAGTTTCAAGAGCGGATATAACGATACCAGTCATCTCTGTGACTAGGTACTCTACCTATTTGAAGCCTCAATTATACTGTTTATATCTGACATGCTTTCCAATTAGTTTATTGGTCATATTGATAGCAACGCCCCACTAATAATCGCCGTTACTTCCTCTGCCACCCTAGATCACCATCAATACTTCATCAACTTTAACTTGTTCATCAACCTTTCTACACATTCAGCAAACTTCTCAATGGATCCACCAACTCTTGATTTTAGTCAGGCCTTGAGCTTTGTAACACTATTTGAAGACGAAATGTCTCGATGGGATGCTGTCACTTCACGCAATACCAATGCGGATGGTTTCTTCGTCTATGCAGTTCGCACTACCAAGATATTCTGTCGACCAATATGTAAAGCCCGTCTTCCCCGCCGAGCAAACGTCTCATTCTTCACCAATGGCTACGATGCCCAGAAAGCTGGTTTCCGCCCTTGCAAACGCTGCAAGCCCGAAGTAGCAGGGTTCATGCCAGAAGAAACAGCTGTGCTAAAGATCCGGGCGTTTGTGCAACAACAAACAGAGAAACAGGGCGATGCTCAAGTCACGCTGAGCCTCAGTCAAATGGCGAGGCAGACCGGGTTATCTAAGTGGCACTTTCATCGAGTGTTTAAGAAATGTGTTGGTGTGACGCCAACGGAGTATCTGAGAAAACAAAGACAAGGTCAAGGCGTCCAGAGCTTGCTGGAAGATGGAGAAACAAGCTGGATTGGCAAACTGAACTTCGAAACCCTGGGCCAAGAAGACTTTGACTTTGCTTCTTGGGATGAATCTGTGGTTGGCTCAGGGTATGCAACTACCGAAACACCATCAGCAATTCTCAGTGGCAGTGGCAGTCCATGGTCTTTCGAGGAATTCTTGATATGGCCAGAAGAGAATAAACCGACGGTTGAGTAAAGATTTCATGTCCTGCTGGTCCTTCAACGTAGGCTAGTTGGGCTTGCGTTACCAGTTCTCTATGATACATGGAGCAACTAAGCTTCAAAAGCAATGACCAAAGCTCACGATAAACACAAAGACCGTCCAAGACTGGCGGCGCTTTGCACAGACATTTCTGGGGGTCTTGCACGTGTTGTTTCTGGTGACCAAAGTCGAACGGCGTGGGTGGTTTCGGCGGCGTTTCACATCTACAACACATCTGGCTGAACTATTTACAAGGATGCTCAAGCGAGCCTCAACCGAAACCCCAAAATCACGGCAACCATCTGTGCCGGTCGCAGTCCGTGCATGAAGATGGTATCGACTAGTCAATTTCCAACTGGAATTGTGTTGGATGACTGAAAAAATATTAGCTTGACAGCCTGACCAGACAACTGAGTTGCGGTATTCCCTATTCCTTGGTCAGTACATTTTGTGCGTTGAGAGTTTATCAACACCAACACAATTCAACGATTTTACCCATTCCCAATGAATCACTTTTCGAGGTTCTATCTCAGTCTTGAACCAATTTCGATAGCAACCGCTCATTCAACTAATTCAACTAATTACTATCTGAAATACTGTCTGATGCGACAAAGGACTCGGGATTTCCGTATCCGAGACCTGCGATGCCTCGGAATCGCGGAGGAGACTTTTTGCGACACATGCCTGTCACTCGGCCATGGCCAAGACGCTTGGAAACTATAGGCCATCCTGTTAAGATCCTATAGTCTAGACTCTGTTATTCACCAGCAGCACTAAACACCGAGTCGCCAACCCTATCCCAGGCGTCTCGTCAACCCTGGGAGAACCTCAAGTTGGAAACGGCGCTTACTGATATGGTTTCGTCAAACAATATCGTAGCAGGTCATGTATGATCGCCGTAACGAGGTTCGGGCTGGTTGCCAAGTTGCATTGATTCAAGCTTATTCAAATTTAACTACTCGATAATGTTGACAGAAACATCTATATAAGTGAGACGATCTGTCATCCAGAGTTAGAGTTTCCCTTCGATCATCATCATCACTCACACAAGCCTCTTCTCCTTCCCCTTCTCCTTTGCTTCTTTCTGCTGTTCTGTGAACGCATTCGCTTCGACCACTCCTTCAAGTTCAATACCTTCTTTTTGCACCGCTGGTTGGTTGCTTTGATATTCTCTGTAAACCTTCCAACTTGTCACTATCACTTAATCGATACAACAGTCATCATGGCTTTCTCAAAGTCTATCATCCTTGCCGCTCTCCTGGCCTACGCCGAGGCCCGATTTGGTCAAGAGCAGGAGCCTGTTGCCGCTGTCCAGGCTCTTGGTGATGCTGGATTCGGTGACCCTGGTGTCGCTGCCACTATTGCTGGCAGCATCCCTGGCGCTTTGCTCGCAGCTGCTAGTCCTTGTGACAAGGTATGATGTATTGAGTTGTCTTGAAATCACATCAACTAACATCCTCCAGCTTACTATCGCCGATCAGATGATCACTGAGTTGGGAACTGACCAGCAAGTTCTCGATGCAGCCATTGGTCTTGTTGCAGCTGAGACCAACTTCAACCCTTCAGCTGTTGACAGACCTTTCGTCTGCGCTGACCCCAGCCTACCAGCCACTGCTGCCCTTCGCGGCATTGTGCCTCTCGTTGACCCTGCTGTTGACGGTGCAGCCACTGAGAATGCCAACTCGGCAACCTCAGTCACAACTCCTTTCGATGCTGCTGGCTTATCACAGGCTGAGGTGATGATTGCTCAGGGATTCAGCACATTCACAGCCGTCGGTGCTAACGGCGACAAAGTCGAGCTTGATGGCCAAGACGGTGCTGCCGCTGGTGGTGCCGGTCAAGACGATGGCCAGGATGATGGCACTGGTGCTGGTGCCGATACCGGCGCGGATGCTGGTGCTGGTGCTGGTGCTGGTAATGGAGGAGCTGCCAACAACGGCACGGCTCCCGCTGATGGCCAGCAGGGCAACAATGGCTCGGATAACGCCCAGGATGGAAGCAACACAAATGACGACGAGGATTGCGAAGAGGATGACAACAACAATGGTAACAACAACAATGGCAATGCCAACAACGGAAATGGAAACCAGAACAGCCAGGGTGGAAACAATGGCAACAACGATAATGCTCAGGATGGCCAGGATGATGCTGCAGATGACAACAATACTGGAAACGCTGGTGGTAACGCTGGAGGCAATGCTGGCGGTAATGTTGGCGCTCTCGACTTCGGTGTCTGCCAGCCTACAATGGCTCGCGTTGGTGGCCTTAACGGTCGCCCAGCTGACGAGTTCACCTTCATTCCCCAGGATCCTCTCGTTGCTCAAGGCCAGCAGGAGGCTCTCAACCCCAACATCATTACCAACCGTATCTGTGACCAGCTCACCAACGTGTGTGACGCTAGTGCCGATGCTGTGGCTGCCTGTGAGGATGCTCAGGCTCAGATTGAGGCTTTGGGAACACGGGATCAAAGCACCGCCGACACATGGAATGCCCTACTTGGCTTCGACGGTGTTGATTCTACTCAGCAGCAGGTTTGAGAAGAGGCTGTGAGAGATGATCGATCGGTGAGTGCATGCTGGTCATGGGGTGGTGGAATAGGGGGCCCGAGTTGAGCAAACATACACGAGTAGTACTTCAGCGTTTATTTAATACGAACTCGATTGCTAATAATCATACTTATCTGTTGTTTGTGTGATTTCGCTGTGTAATTTTGAAAATGATATGTCTGCTGCAAACGAGCAGTCATGCAATATCAGGCATAGTGGTAGAAAATATCATGCCTACCTGCTATCATACGCACGCTGTCCTATGCTAGATATGTGCCAATTCCCTTGCTTTCGCTATTTGACATGAAAGCTTCCAGCCGCGATGCAGAAACTCCCCGAATTACCCGGAGGTAAAAGGATAAACACCAACCCAAGCATGCATTCACTATGGAGCCCTATCAGGACGTGTTCGAATGCAGATTTGATGTCGTGCCTAAGGTATACAAAAGTCTATCCAGCTTCCGAGATAATCGAGTCTGTTGCCCTGGTGCTCCTGGCTCTTGTAGATGCCCTCAAACTCGTCAAAGCTTAGTTTACCCCACCCTCCTCTTTTGATCGCCTGGGCTTCAGCAAGGCTTAGCCGTTTCCAGTGTCGCAGCATGTCTGATGTGGGAGGGCTATCGATGCCATCCTCTTCTCTGGGTACGTCGTCCTCGGACGTGTCTAGTATAGGCTGTGTAATGGGGTAGAATACGTAGGTCGCAGAGGTAGGTACATCTTCGAGTGTGTTGGGCCGGAATTGTGGAAAAGTGGGATCTTGTTCTTGGTCTTCGGAAACTGGCATGGTTGCCTCAGTTTCAGATCCTGAAACGGGCTCTGCTGTTCCATCCTCGTGGATGATCTCAACCGTAGTATCGATTTCGATGGCATTTCGTCCCTCTGGCAGAGCAATAGTATATCCAGTTTCGGACAAGAGCTCCTCAAGGGTCCTGTCGGCGGCGGATCTAACCTTGGAATCACCCCGATTCGTAGACTTGGACTTATCATCATCGCCAAGCTCGATGGTGTCTAGTACGTCCTTGTACTTTGCCCGTTGTTCTTTGGTTTCAGCTGCTTGCACAGCAAGGTCCTCGGCTGGCTTAAAAATGGTATCAAGCAACTCATTAAATGCTTGCTGAGTGACCTGGTAAAGAATCTCCTTGCCAGCATCTCGCTCGGCATGCGGTATTCTCCATCGCGGTACGTGCTCAGAAGCACTGCTAGGAGAAGTCGTTTTATCGTGATCCTCGTCATCGGTCAGATTTCCGTTGGCGAATCTGACCTTTGAACTAGACGGCGTCGTTGTCGAGTCGTTTTCCTCGTCGTCACTGGAGGCTTCATCCATCTGGCGAAGGTCCATCAGAATATCTTCACTGCCTGCCCAGTCATCAGGGGCAAGGCCTCCTTCTTCCTCGTCGAGATAGAACTGCCGCCTCTTCCATCGCTCATGTAGTTGGTTCCGTGCCATGTCTCTTTTACGCTTGTCCAGTTTAGGAGCCCTGCTGCGATCCTTGGCAATGGTCTCGGCTCTGATCTCACTTTCTGTTCGTGACGGACCTCCTGTATCGTCTTCATCATGGGCCCCGTTGATGCCATCTGCAGGTCTGTCACCATCAACCTCCTCATCCTCATCATCTGTAGGCTCCTCAATCTCAGGATTCAAAGTCTCCATTATGAGGCCTGGAAGCTCCTCCAAGGTGGATGCCGGTTCCAATAGCGTAACCCAATAAGTACGATCGGTCTCACTCCCACTCAAACGGCGAACTGTTCTCCAGTTGCTATCTGTGTCGTTTCTGGTGATGAACTGCCTCCTGGACCGAAATCGATGGTCGGTTTCACAAGCAAACAGGTTTGTTAGAATGTCGCCACGAGCTGCTGTGTCCCCGCGATCTGGAGCAACAACGTGTTCGTGCCCATCGGAAATATCGACACCACCATCTCGTTGATATGTCTTGCCCTCGTGCCGAAACTGTCCCTCACCGGGAGGAACCCGACCCTCACGTCCGAATAGACTGCTCAGTGGTTGACGGCTGGTAACGAGCTGTTGAGCTTCGCTGCTGGCGAGTAGCTGATCCTGAAGGCCGTCCAAAATATCTTTGTGCATCTGCTTGTATAGAACATAATACGCACGGAACATGCGCAAAAAGTCTTTGCGATCAACATATCCATCGCCATCCAGATCGTAGCCAGAGAATATCTTTCGCAGTTTATCCTTCCGCTTTCTGTACGATAATCCATGAAGAAATTCTGTGAAGCCAATCAAGTCATCGTTGTTAGAGTCGTAGAAAGAGAACATTCGATCGTGTATAAGATTTGGTGCTGCATGACGGGAGCCTCCTGTAGGAACAAGGCACCGCTCGAATGTCTTCCGATCCATTGCGACACACAGCTCATCGGGGTCATCTCTCCATTCGGAGTTGGCCATAAAAGTCCACTGTTCCCAGAAAGCCTCTAACTCTGGCCGTTCGAATCCTGTATCTTGGGACAGCTTGGGTATCAGACTGCGGGGCAGAGTCCGTCTGCAAGTGTCTGGATCCCCGGTATACCAAACTTGCTGCATTTGTCGCGGACCGAACGGCGGTGCTGGGATTCGGATTTTGTAAAAGATATGAGTCTTGATATGAACCCCCTGGGCTTCACAAGTCTCGCAAAGATCAAAGTCGGCACAGTTTGCGCAGCGGTAGCGAACCCCGCGGATGGGAACCATGCCACATGAATTACATTGGCAGCCTCTGTGAACGCATCCATTTCTGCGTGCATTATCCTCTGAAACACGAAAGAGAAGGGTGACGATGTTGTGGCCAGTTCGTTGATTAGAAGGAAAACCGCTGGGATCGTTCCACCACTCGTCCCCGCCATCAACTATGGTCTCTCCATCGCCTAGGGGCTGAACTGGATCAATATTGGCGTTTTCGTCACCCGGAGCCTCGGATGAGGAACTTGAGCCATCCTCGTTTCTCCGATTCCGGCGTTGACGTCGTACTGCGTTGCTCCTGTGTAGGCCACCACCGGGCAGAGACTCGAAACTTTGCGACCGGACCTGATATGCATAGTATCCGGCCGAGAGCGCGGCCACAGCCGAAACCACGGCCACAGCCAGTCGCGGCCGGGTGATACTCTCGACGGAAGGCGTCGGCAACCACATCGTGGGCTATATCATGGATATTGCATGATGCTGAATCCAGGCGTGTCAGCGGAGGTTGAAAGGCTGTAGAGTCGATCGACGGTGACCGTCAAGGGATAGATCGGATCGAATTCGCGCCTGTCGTCGTTCCTGCTCGGTAGCGAGGTACAGTAGATTTGCAAGGCAATGTTAGAATCAATAACAAATCTGTTCTCTGTTTTCGATGATGACAAAGCTACGAATACATTGCATCCCAATAAGCTCATTTAATGCGATCAGACGGGAGCTGTGAAGTTTCAGTGGAGCAGGGGCTAGGCCGAACACGGATAGGCCGATCGATTGGATGCTGCTTGGGACTCGAGGCGGTTGGGCTAGGTACGTACCTTAGTTCCCAAGCGTACCTTACCTTGCTTGAATACCTTAGCGGAGCCCACCTCGAAAAGTAATGATGCTTATACAGATATGGATCCATCCAGTGCCATCATGGGTAGGGTCCCTCTGTAAATCCTCAGCCCACTTCCTCACGATTTCAACTTGACTTCCATTCTGCGCCAGCAATTGGGCTCCATAACAAACAAACAAACAAACAAACAAACGCAATGGCTGATGCCCCCCCCCCCCTCCCGGGCCCCATGCCCTCGTCCTTTGACGGCGACCAGTATGCTTCAATTCCAGCTTGCTATACCGTGCACTCCCCGCTCATGCGATAGTCCAGGGAACTTCAGAATGAGAGACCAATGCAAAAGGTCTTCCGCAAGATCAAAGAGGAGCCATTGATCCCCCTCGGTACAGAAAACATCTCGCAACTATTTGCCGCACGGGACAGCTTCTAATAGCTATAGGAATGGGCCTGACCACTCTCGCCTTTATCAATGCCTACCGAGCCCTCCGTCGTGGCGATTCAAAACAGGCGAACCGCATGTTCCGAGCCCGAGTTGCAGCCCAGGGTTTCACCGTATTCGCCATGCTTGCCGGCAGCATGTATTACCAGAAAGACCGCGAGAAGAGCAAGGAGCTCCGCCAGCTCCAGGAGCAGAAGGATGCTGAAGAGAAGCGACAAAAGTGGATTCGTGAGCTCGAGGCCCGAGACGAGGAGGAAAAGGCCATGCGTGCGAGACTTGAGAAGAAGAGACAACAGGTCCAGGCCCAGCGGACCGTGGAGGCCAATGCAACTGCAGAATCGCAGCCCGAAGGCACTGAGACCCCCAGTAATGGAGGCATTCTGAGCCGCATTGGCTTATGGCCACAAGGCAGCAAGGAAGAGAAGAAGGATGATGGCAAAGACGCCGCAGAAGCTGTCGAGGACGAGGCCAGCGCAAAGAAGAAGAAGAATCCCAAGAGCTCTCTAGGCGATCTCGGCGAAATTATCTCAAAGCGAAAGGACTAAGGACAAAGAATGTACATTAGGAGTAATTGGTCATGATGGAGGTTTGTATAAAAGTTTTGCATGCTAATATGTGGCAGAAAGACATTGTGTACGATAGACAACGGGTGGTACTTTCGAGTACAGTGTGGCTCTACTCCCCAGCTACTAAGGCAAATGTTAATGATCGTTTATGTTCGCTGAGGTTGAAGATTGTGATGTTTCAAGACAGGCAGTTAGTAAACCGATGTGCTAACCAGACTTTAAGAACATATATTGTCTGGTATTACTCATTTTCTTGGGAGTTGCTTCATGTCATAGATCCTCCACTTCGGTTTCCTCCAATTAAACCTGCCATCTCAAGCAACGCCCGATCAGCCTCGATATCGCCATTTCCAAGATTGATCTTGCGGCGAGCTTCAGCCTCTCGTTCCTCCCAAGCCCATTTCTCGGCTTGGGCTTGGGCTTCTTTATCACCGCCACAGCCCCAAACTTCGAGACTCTCGATCTGGAATCTGTCCTGGAAATCATACTTTCTCACCACACTCGTGTGAAATGCACCCCCCCGAGATGTAAAATCGTGGTTGAAGACTGCGAACTCGAACGAGTCGTCAAGTAATAATGATACAGGGCCTAGGCGTAACATCTCGGCCTTTCTGTGAGCTTGAGATGGGTGCGGATGAGGGCAACCGAACGACATCATGGGATGGTGTGCTGGTGCTTTTGTGAAAGTAACGTAGTCTTTGTTGATAGTTGATGCTGGGAAGACATCGTGAATTGGTTCAAGTTGAAATAGTATTGTTTCTGAATCGCCGAAGCATTCCCGGTGAGTGTGTTTCCAGGGTTCACGGACGTAAACACCAAAAGTGAGCCGATCCGATTTGCTACCATGAGGGAACCGCTTCGGAGGCAAGGATGCCGCGAAACTGCTTTCTTGACCACCCTCCGGCTCATCTCCCAGCCGTGTTCCGCTGACCAGGAGCAGTGTTGGAGCTTGCCAGTTGAAAACTTTGGTCTGGAAGCTTCCCATGGAGAAGCCGGCATCATTGCCTGAGTAAAGGAGCCTCACTCGGCGAAAGAGATCTGTTCCAGGAAGGAAAAGTGAGATCTGGGACAATGTGTTCTGATTAAGTATTTCGCCCGTGTCGGTCAATAGAGGCTGTGCTACTTTTTGAGATGAAGTAGTAGCTGGGGTATCATTTTGATGTTTGGAGAAATCTAGATTTTGTGAGAAAAGAAAGCGCTCAAAGAGTCCATTGAATCCACGAAAAAGATGAGGGCAAATCACAGGTATGATGGTTCTGAAGTGGTTGTACTTGATGCCAGTTGAGGTCTCGGCATTAACGAAGGAGGCAAGAATGCTTTCAGCGGCGTCACGAAGGCCCTCGAGTTCTCGTCCAACAACACGACTTGAATACATCGAGAGGCTTTCTTGAGGATCAAGCGGGGCGGCAAGGAGAAGCAGCATGACAAGTTTTCGGAAATTGTCAGTTGGGATCGTTGCGCCGTGGAAGACTGGCGCATGGCCCTGGTCCACGGCATCCTTGATGTCAAGCAATTCAAAAGCTGTCAACACGAGGTCGTCATCCTCACCGTCTTCATCGTCGTCGCCAGCTGCATCAACGGCAAAACCGGCCACACGGGCCGTGGCCTTCTCTTTATCGTCTTTGGACTCAATAGATGCGATATGTGACGTGTCTGGATGGGCTCCTGCTTCTGACATTTTACGATCAAAGACAGCCAAGCTCTTGAACAGTAGTTTGGTCCTATCTGAAGAGCCCCGCGCCAATACAGTTCGGTAGCGCTCAGTCATAATGACGACCACCATAATCATCCGCTGAAACTCCAGGACTGCAGGTGCGTCTTGAAGAAATGGAAAAGCACCGATGTAGGATACTATTTGAAAAATGACCGGCGAGGTGCCGAGAATATCTGGTATTTCCAGGTACCGGGCGATAGTGTCCTCTTTCAGGTATTTGATAGAGTCCTGCTGATCCGCAAGGCTCTTGAAAACATCTCTGAGTGAGTATAGTTCAAGAGAGGTGAAGCATTTCTTCATAAACTTCTCCGTCTACGAGCTCGTGTTAGCGGTATTTCGGAATTGGCTCTGGCAGCGTATGATGGATGGACAGGAGGAGCTCACAAGTTGTTGGGTTAGCTCTTCATGCGACCGCCGTTGCGGATGCTCATCCGAAAGATTCTGACCCATTTTGCAAAGGCCACTGCGTTCGCATCACTCTGATACTAACAATTGATGACAATGATATGAAGAATGTGAAGTTGAGAGTGCCTAAGTTACTGGGTAAGTCAAGGTAGACCGTCTGACTTCATGACATTCCGGACACTGAGGGAGGTGAGGTGAGGTGAGGTAAGGTGGGTAAATTGCTGACACGGAAGGTACGTACACACACTTATTTAGGTAAGAGCGCCAGGTACGTAATGATTTGTTCCTTCCCCTGTCCTTTAGGTTCGCTCCCGTCATCCTCATCCTCGTCCTCGTCCAATTAGATCCGATCCAATGTGCCAAGCATTTACGGACAGGTAGGTAGGTAATTGATTGATTGATTTGGATCGTCGGCCCGGGCTTTTATGGTAGCGAATGTGAAGCTATTCCCAGAAACCAAAATACTAATACAACTAAGTCGGGTCTCGAAACAGATATATATCTATTCAAGGTGTCTAGATACTGACTTGGGTCCAGTAAATAGACCCCGCTAACAAAACTCATCGAGCACTTTTGCCCCTAGCCACCTTACTCATCTGCTTATATCAATCTGAACAACTCCGACTTGAGCACCTCTTCACATCGCTCTCAGTTTCCGTCTTTCTTCTCAGGGCCCCAAGCGTCCTGAAGCTCGGCGACGAACTCATCGCACCATCCGTCCGATTTTGTCTTTTCAAGCTTCTTCTTCATTTTCTGCTCAGCCTCAGTGAGCTTCTTACCATCAGTGCCCTTACTCTGCAGATCCGCCTTTTCCAGGGCCGGTTCGAGAAGTTTGCTAATAACCTCAGAGTGCTTGATGTCATTCTTTCCCTGCTTTGCGTTCTTCAGCCTCTTGAGCCCCCAAGCCTTGACGACCTTGTCCAAGAGTCTGCCCTCCAGCTTCTTGGCCTCCAAAAACTCATTCCTGGTGAATTCGTCGAACTCTAAGGTCTTGGCGATTTCCAGGCGCACTTCCTTCTTGATGGATTCTAGCTTCGGCTGTTCCTCCTTAGGCTTGGGGGATTCCTTACCGACAAGCTTGAGAAGTTCTTGGTATTGAGGAGTACCGACACTCTTGGAGACAGCCTCGTTGAGTTTCTCAAGGAGATCAGTGCTCGGCTTAGATGCGTTGATGAACTCATGGGCGAGTGACTGTTCTAGCCCAAGCTTTCTCACCAGGGCCTGGCGCTCGTACTTGTCCAACTTAAGCATACGTTCCAGTTCCTTCTCGGTAAGCTGGTGTACAGATCTCTTCCGTATCTTGTAATCTCTCGGCGTCTCGGCTCTCGCCCTGGCTTCGTCTTCGGCTGCCTCCTTTAGTTTCTTCTCGGCTGCCTTCTTTGCTTTCTTGTCTATTTTACCGTCTGCCTTGAATTCCAACGCCTGGATCTGCCTAACAACGCTTGAATCTTGATGGTCTAATTGAACTCGGATATACTCCTCGTTCAGTCGCTCCACGTTTTTACCTGAAAGTTTTTTGTTCTTGGAGAACCATTTGTGTAAATCTTGAGGCATATGAAGTCCCTCGGCTAAAGAACTGCGAATCGCTTTAGGCATACGCGCGATCACCTTTAGCTGCCATTCAGTGAGCCTTTTCGGCTTCCTGGCCTCGAGTTCTTCCAACTCCTCCTTTTCGCTCCTGGCTATCTCCTTCTTATCATCTTCTGTAAGAGGCGGGAGCCCATCCTCGGTATTCTCTCCCTGACCCTCAGATCGCTTGGACTTGGCGTTAAACTCTTCAAGGATATTCTTGTATTTGGGATCCTTGTGAATGCGGGCATACTCCCAGTTGAGTTTGTGAATCATATCTTGGTCAAGCTTTCCGCAGTCTACAAACTCATCTGTGAGTTTCGCGGGAAGCCCGAATCTCACTGCAAATAGGCGACGTAGGACTGGGTCCAGGGCCTCGATCTTCTTCAGCGTCTCATTGGGGATCTTGGGAATTGGTGGATTTGGGGCTGCTCGCTTTCCACGCGACTTGAGCTTCTCAAGGATCTTCTTATACTTAGGGTCCTTTTCAATACGCTCATACTCCTTCTCAAGCTTCTTGATAAGTTCGGGGCTGAACTTTTTGGCCTGCACAAACTCTTTCTTGAGTTCAGGGCTAAAATCGAGTTTGTCTGCAGCTATCATACGGATCAGAGGAGGCATCGACTCGATCTTTGCAAGTATCTCTGGAGTAAGCGCCGACTTTGAGGTTGCTCGCTTTGCATGAGACTTGAGCTTCTCAAGGATCTTCTTGTACTTAGGGTCCTTTTCAATACGCTCATACTCCTTCTCAAGCTTCTTGATAAGGCCGGGGCTAAACTTTCCAGCATTTACAAACTCTTTCTTAAGCTCAGGGCTAAAATCGAGTTGGTCTGCAGCTAGGGAACGCATAAGAGGAGGCATAGCCTCGATCTTTGCGATCACTTCTGGAGTTAGCACAGAATTAGATCTCTTTCTGTTGCGAAACTCGCGTTTTGTGTTGAGGTACTTGATGAAAGGTGCGTATTTGGGGTCATCGACGATGCGAGCATACATGATATTGAGCTTGGTAATCAGCTTAGGGGTGCACTCCTTAAACTCGCCGAACTCCTTTCTGGTCTGCGGATCGAGAGGCAGGCCCATTGCGATTCTCTTTCGGTCCTGCGGCGAAAGAGCTTCCAGGTTGAGGATTTGAGTGGTGTTGAGCTTGGGTACAAGGTTACTCGATCGTTTAGTGTGAGTCCCATGATGAGACTGGCGATCTTTGTATGCCTTGGTTTCATCTTCGTGGTCCTCATGATGTCTAAATTTTGTGTAGTGATCGATAGGTTTATGATCCAGCTTCACTCTTTGATCAAACGGACCACGCTCGTTATCATCGTCGTGCTTGTACTTGGAATGCTCCTTATATCCGTATTTTGGTTTGTTGGATGAGTGGTAGTCCTTTGATTTCTTAGAGTCCTCATGATGCTCGGCCTCTTGATAGTCATGATGAGGCTCGGGCCTCTTAGGATGCTCGGCATTGTCCTTACCAGGATGATGGTGATCCGACTTCTCATCATGATGGGTTGGCTCGTACTGTGAGATGTGCTCCTTGCTCGCTTTGATATGCTTCTTCTCGTCATCATGCTTATAGTCGATTTTCTTCTTGTACTGAGAAACAGGCTTATTATTCGAGTACTGACCCTTCTTGGAGTCCTCATGTTCATAGTAATAGGCGTTCTTCTTTTCGCCGTGATGTGAGTCCAACTTCTCGTGTTTATAGCCTGGCTCATAGTGAGAGGAACTGTCTTGGCTCAGCTTGACATGCTTCTTGTTATCATCATGCTTGTACTCGGCATGCTCTTTGTATCGATAGGGAGGCCTTTCATGAGAATAGTGCTTTTTGTCGGACTCGTGGTGCGAGTCATGGTTGTCTTTGGATGGGTGAGTCTTCTTGGGGTCGTGTTTAGCGGCTGGCTTCTTGGCAAGAAGGTCGGCGAGAGCTTCGATGATTGCTCGCAGTGCATTATTCTTCTTCTTCTTCTTCTGTTCACCAATTTGCCCATCCTTAGCTTGATCAGACTTCTTTTGTCCATTCTTGAGCTTCTCGTCATGTTGAGTGTCCTTTGGCGAATATGGTTTCTTGTAGCTGGGGTAGCGATTGCCGTGAGGGCTAGGGCGGCCCTTATAAGAGTAAGCCTGAGAAGGATAAGATTTATACTGATGGGATGGCTCTTTGGAAGAGTCAGGACGGCCGGTTTCCTCTTTGACGAAGGGGCCAATCAGGTCGAGAATCTTCTTGGTAACTTGTACAACAGGCGTGGGGGGTTGCCCTTGAGTCTGATTGTGACCTTTGCTTGACTGGGAATACTTCTCTTTACTTCCAACGTGACCCTTGTCGTGACTATCATAGTTCTTAGACTTGGGAAGGGATTGGTGCTCCTTTGTTGACCCCCTGTGTTTCTGCTCGTCATCATGCTTATACTTGGGATATTTCGTTTCATGAGTCGACTCCTGCGAGCTCACATGAAAGATTTTGACAAGTTTCGTGTCGCCATGGTCATGCTTCTCGTCAGAATCATGATAAATCGCGTAGGTTGGAGCATGAATGTTGATATCGATATCGCGTTTGACGTCCATTTTACCTCGATGAACAATCTTGTATGTTTTGTCATCCTTCGAGTTTCTCTGTTTCTTTTCGTCTCCCTTGAACTGCTTCTGTCCATCCTTGTGCTTGTTGTAGTGCTTGACGTCCATTCCACCTCGATGAATAATCTTGTACAATTTGCCATCCTTCGAGTTGGTCTGTTCCTTCTCGTCTTCATTCTTGTGCTTGTTGTAGCGCTTGGCGGTCTCCAGCACGACATTTTCGAAGAAAGGGAGTTTCTTCTCAGCTTCCTTAAGCTGATTCTCGTACTTGTTGTAGTGCTTAGGGGTTTCCAATTCAACATCCTTGGCGGAATTGTCTTTCCTGATGGTATCGATTATCGACTTGACCAAGTCATTGGACTTGGGAGTCTCCGACGCATGATCTTTGAGGAAGGGGAATTTGTCCTTGGCATGTTTCTTGGCCTTCTTGTACTCGTCTGTGGGGAAGGTGAGTTTGGATTCCTCATCCTTGTCGTCATCTTCTTTATCATGTTGTTTCTTCTTCGAGTCATGAGAGTGATGCTTCTTCTTCGAGTCATGGGAGTGATGCTTCTTGTGAGCGTCATCGTCATCATCATGTTCCTTGCTTTTGTTGTGCTTCTCCTTTACTTTTTGAGAGTGGAAAACATGTTCCTTCTTCTCATCGTCATCATCGTCATCATCGGAGTCGGAGTCGGAGTCGGAGTCGTCGTCATGCTTCTTCTCTTCATGATGATGCTTGTGGTCCTTGGGTCCAAAGTATCGGTGTGAAGTGATCTTGGTGATCCGTTCGTAGCCATGAAACTTGTTCTCTTCAGGGTCGGCATCGTTGTGCTTGTGTTGTGCCATCGCCTTCTTCATATCATCATTGGGGAGGACTAAGGCCAAGCCCATCGATGCCTGGAGGGCAACGAGGATGGTGTCGGTCAACCTCATGATTGCTGACTCACTCTGGCAAATAGAAGGTGGCCAAGGTAAACTATAGATGGTGCAGAGGATCACAACTGAAGTTATGTTTCAAGCTTAGAAGAAAGAACAAGTGTTCGGGATAGGGAAGCAAGCATCATACTTATACTCAAAGAGGAGCCAGATATTCCTCGTAATCTACCTTGGATAAACTTCCTGTTCCCCTCTTTCGATAGCATCATAGTCATCATAGGTATCTATTAGCATGGCTGGGCGTAACTTGAGACTCGTTTGGAGACAAGCGAGGGACGCCTCCTGTCGCTCATACACACATGGCTGAGGACGCCGAAATGTATCAAATAAGGAGGAGTTCCATGTTGTACGATTTCTCCTCACTGTGTAAGTTCATCAAGCTATATCGATGACTTCGGCTATCCCAGCTCTCCGAACCATAGCTTGACAAATAGTAAAGGGCACTGTATGGTTGTTAATTGTATGCGTAGTTTTGCTTGGCTAGGGAGTCACGACAGCAAGTATCGTTTTTCTTTCTACTGATAAACCGATGACTACGCCAAGGTCCAATATATCTGTTGATACGCCTGACTGAGACAGCAGGTTAGGAGCATATGCCTAGGTATGGATGCACCTTTTCGGTCTCGGAACTATCAATCTCTAAGTTCAGTGTTATCCACAAGTTAATTGTGTGATTTGATGGTGTGTTTCAAGGGACGTGCTTGAATATCACCATCATCGAGATAATGAAAAGAGGATACGAGGCTCAGAAGAGGCAACATACTCGTTTGGTGACCTTGACGTCAAATTCGTGGCACTTACGTTCACAACAATCGCCATGTCATGAAATCACAGTTCATGATGATGCCGAAACGTCATTATCCATAATAGCGATGCCTCTCCGCAGGCTCATGGGTTTTGTTACCACCTACCGATCGTAGGCTCAACAATTAAGCTGGCGGAGAGTATGCTGTGCCTTTCCGTCCTCGGACCAATATAAATGGAACGACTCGCCAGAAAAGCCGCGACATATCCTCAACCAAAGTGCCACATGTCACCACAGAAAGCTACACTTCAACTATATTAACTTCAAGCCTTAGATCCTGTGCCCTCGTTCTATCTAGTAGAAAGAATATGCTAGAATCTCAAATATGCGTCCGGTAGCAACTTCAACGTCTCTATCGTGGAGCCACACCATGGATGATACGCAGAAACTCGGTAATTGCCCCCGAGAGATCATGAGGGGTATGGGATGGTGCTTGACAACCAGTGAGCAAGTGCAAGTCCCGATGTTGATGATTCCCCGGGCAGTTTCAAGAGGTTTGGATTCCGCCGACAAATCTTTCTCTTCTTTGGTTCAAGATAATCTAGGTAACTTATATGCAAGTAGCGCCTATCCATCCCCCAAATAATGTTCCTATCAACACTCCTAACTTCGCCAAAACAGAATGCCAAACTCCATTGTAAGCGCACCAAATTAAGAAACAGTTTGTGCAACTCGTAGTGAAAGATGTTTCCAGAACTCGAGACATGCTTAGGCCTCGTTGTCCTTTGCAGAAACTTGATTGATCAAGCGCTGATACTTAGCTTCAGCCTCCTGCTCAGCATATCGAGCTGGCTTTGACAGACGTCCTTCTACTGGTGGAGTTTCAGAACTGCCTTTAGATGTCCAAAGAACGCCAACCTTCGCGGTGGGCTTCGGCTCTATTGCCGAGTCAGGCTTTGGTGTCGAGCCGTTTGTCCTAGGTTCCTCCGAGGCCGTGCCGTCTTTCTCTCCGTCCGAACTGGCCTTGGGGAGCCTCATTGCCAGGAGAACATATTCGGCGCGGGTCATATGATCCATGACGTCGTCCATATAGCGCCTGACCTCATCTTGGGGAGCGACCACTCGTGAAAGATTCTCCAGATGGCGTCCAGATGGTGTAAAGAGACGTATCGTGACGGGTTGGTAGTAGTCTAGCTTTGGGTCGCCTCCATATTCAGATGTGCTTCCCTTGCGAACAATGAGAAATGAAGCGACAACTTGCTGACCAGTCGCAGTTGGCAGATATTCCAAAATACTGAATTTGGGGAAAAGATATCGGTCACCGCTTCCAAAGTCAAAAACAACAGCAGTGATGTCTGGTTTAGGCGCAGGTGGTGGCCCCTTTGATCTGAGAGCCTGTGGGTTAGGTGGAGGTCCATTATGGAGTGCCTTTTGTTGTCCATTCGGTATGCCGTTCGGGGTTTGCTGGCGGATTTGTACAGGGGCAGGGGAAGCTCTCGGAGCGGTCTTCATATCGCGATGAAGCCGATCCAAGATTTCCTTGAGATCTGTGGCATCAGTAAAACCGGGTCGGTTTTCCGCAATCCTTCGAATCATATCCCGTGTCCTCTGGTCCTCTAGGGCAGTCTTGACCAATAGAACGACAAGCGGATCACTGCCCTGTGGTGGCCGCAGCTCGGATGACTTCTGGTTGGGGTTAGAGGCCAAGACAATATCAAGAATAGTCCTGACTTCCGTAGCAAAATATTGCACTGTACGGCCATCGACAAGAAGACGATCTGCCGATGGCCCTTGCTGGCCCCCTCTACTTCGATATTCGGCATTCAGTTGATCTATGATCTTCTGGAAGTGAGCTAATTCACCCTCTTTTGCTTGCCCCACAGCCACTCTCTTCATGAGGTCCCGCAGCTCCGCGTCTCCTGAAGCCTTCTGTGCCAATAAAGCAATCACAGGATCGTTGGCCGACGGCTTCGCAGCAGGGGCAGTACCTGAAGCAGGGACACCTGGAGCTGAGCCAGGAATTGGAGCTGGAGCAGGTTTGGCGAGGCCACTCGCAGGCGGATGAGAGTTTGGAGGCGGTCGGGGTGCTGGAGACATTGAAGGAGCTGCTATCGGCCTAGTGGGTGCTGCTGGTGCTACGATTGGTCCTGAAGCTGGCATATGTGCCACTGGTGCGGAAATGTTGGGAGACGTTTGTGAGATTGATGGTGTTGGAGATGGTGCTACAGGCCCTCCAACTTGTGGTCTCGGCTGTAAGCTTGGACTCGGGGATGGTGTCGCAGTGTTTACCGGGGCTGTCGTTGAAGTAGCAATCTGGCCTTGAGATATCCTGGGAAGGGTTTGAGATGATTGAGCTGGACTTTGAGCTGGACCCTGTGATGGACTTTGTGGTATATATTTCGCTGCCGCCGCCCTATTTTGTGTCGGGGTGCCAACTGCCGATGCTGGAGGCGCGAGTGGTGGAGGCATTGAACCATTTGGAGGACCATACTGAAGGATCGGTCGGTGCTGTGATTGCTGCTGTGGTACGGGCTGAGTTTTCGGTTTCGGGTCCTTCACCACGTACATCGTGGCTTCGATTATATGAGGCTCAATCGTAATCGTTACGGTGCCCACCTTTGACATGGTATCCTTTGGCGGGTTTTTGGGATCTTCATTGAGAATACCTTTGCGCTTATGGGGTTTCGTCCAATACTTTGCAAATAAACCTTCGCTGATCCATTTGTGACGGGACCGGAAGAGTGATTCGGCAAGAACACCACTTGAGGGACGCGTCAGTCAGTATCTCTATCTCGTGGGTCAGTTCAGCATGTCATACCTTTCACCAACCGACTGATACTCCTTTGACGACAGTTCTTCTGACTGCGCGACTTCTACCGTTGGGAGAGGTTTACCAGCTTGAATCGATTTGGGCAACAGCGGCGGGGGGGGTTCTTCAGGTTCCGGAGCTGGTTCTGGCTCTGGAGCCGGCGGGGGAGCGGCAGGCGTCGCAGATCGCTCTCGAGGAGTAACATTGCGCTTTTTGGCAGCATTTTCGCCTCGAGCGGCAGCCCGCGCGGGCAGTTTGCGCTTTCGCTCCATGAACTAGCTTGCACAGTAGGCAAACTACAGAGAGCGCAAAAGAATTACACTGCGAGACTGGAGCCAATCATTATATGAGAGCCATGCAAGGCGCGTCTTGCAGCAAAATGAACGTGTAAAGGTGAGTAATCGATCGTTTTTGCGAGCAATAAGAAGTCGAAGAAGCGAAGGTGAGGCTGGGTCACGAGGGGATATTGAGAGAATATGGAGGTGGGAGATGGAAGATGGGAATGGAGGCTCTCATTGGAAAAGAGAAAGTGGTAGTAGCATTCAGTAGCAACAGCCACCTACTAGGTAGGTACGGACAGCAATCCGAGGCTCAGTGGTGCAGGTCCGACATGGGCACCTTCATGATGGAGCATGGAGTGTAAATCCAGGGTTCTGATTGGGCAGACCTAGCACTCCAGCGCCTACTCCGTAGGTAGGTTTAAAAAAGAAGCTGGGGCTCAGCAGGGACATTACAGGCCCGGGCCTACTTGGAAGCGCCGTGAAAGTATCGGGGTCGACTATTAGGTAGCTTCTATCAATAAAAGTAGACGGTCGGGAAGATGACTCCTGTCGCATGTATCCTATTGGCCGATGATAGTGCATAAGCTTCTTTATCTACATCTTCCTTTAGCACTCACCATTACCTAGCCTCCACTGAGGTAAGGTGAGGTGTGGTCATTTCGCGGCTCTTTCTTCCCAGCAGATTAGGTGGGGCCACAGCCGCATCAGACGCGCCTCAGGTACATTGAATGCAGGCGTAGTCTTCCCCACGTGAGAAGTCCCGTAGATGATGATCGCTGGTGCTTAGCGCGGGCAAAGCAACGTCCTGTCTGGTTCGACCTCAGGCCTTCATAGGTTCTGCCTTGTAATTAGCAGGTGAGCGTATTATTCGCTCCGGCCAAGGTACCTAGGTAGCGTTTCATTTTCAGAATCTCTCATAGATCTCTTTTACTCTAATTTGTTCTTTGACCCACCATCGGAAAATCATGTCCCATCTTCATCCCGCCGTCAAGGCTGTGGTTATAGCCGTCGCAGCGCCACTGGGCCTCTATTGCGTTTTCTTGGGACTGGGAATGACACCGTTCTTCCAGAGACAGTATGTTTGGGTCGTGTATCATTGTGAAGTTAATCGGTTTTGACTCTCTAATCAGGTTTCTATATGCGCACAAGTTCAACACATTAT